CTCAATCATTACATTATCATTTTGTGCCTCAATATTATGAGAAGTTATCCTGAATTGAAAACAATGTGTGATCACTGCATGTATATGTTTGCAAGTTATTTTTTATAAATAAATCAAGACAAGTACATGTGAACTCATGAACACAAGTCTGACAATTTGTGCAGAACAGATAACAATTATTACCTTTTTTATAACATTCTTCTTCATTTTTCTCAACAATGTATTCTTCATTATTTTTAGTTATTGGCTTTACCTTCCATGTACTCTCATCTACTTTACTAATATCCTCTACCTTAATATCCTGGCTTTTTAAGTGAGTTTTCCGTATCAAATCCATGCAATAAGAATTATTACCTTTAATATTTCTCTTTAACTTTTTTACTGTTATGTCTCGAATCAATTTTAACAATGCGTGCAAACAACTGTCAACCCTTTTATTTTTCTTTCCTTCAAAATATCTATGTTTCAGAGTTCTATGCATAGCTTCTAGAAACATATTGGTGTTGATTCGAATACCTTTTCTGTAGCAATATGCCCATAGCTTACAACGATCCATGTAATAAGTTTTAAAATATTCTCCAAAGGCAACAGTATCTTCACAGCACATTAACTCGGATACTAAAAAATCTTGGAGTTCTTGAAATTCATCAATGTCTACAGTTTGTAATAACAAGCGCAAACTCTTATATACTTTTGCCTTTGCAATTTGATCACCCTTAAACACAATAGTTGATTATCAGGCACACTCATATTGTTGATCCACGCATTATAAAATTCTGGTGCATCATCTGACATAAACACCTTACACTTTATATCACCAGTCAGCATTTTAATAACTTTTAAAAAATGAGTTAGTACATTTGTGTCTACTCTGTTAGATAGCAAGAAGGCAACTGGTACACCTTTACCAAATTCATCAACAATCATTAGGGTGGTTAACAAAAAATCGTAACTTGTTGTTCCATGAGTCGAGTCAATACATACTTTATCTGAACCAAAAGTTAACAACTGTATCTCTTGAAATTTTGTCATAAATATCAACACAAAATCTTTTTCCTCATATATTTTTGAAAATTCATTTGAACCTTGAGCTTTATAAAATAACACTGAAAATTGTTCTTCTAAAGATTTCAAAGTTCAACCCATAAATGAACACTTATAACATCTTTCTGATGTAACTGAATATGTTGTTTTAGGTTAAACTCTTTGATGATATTACGTAAGTCTTGACGATCTAAAAGACTAAGCCATTCTACTGTTTCTTTTGACATACTATCACGAATGTCATCCAAAATTTTTTGAAACGATACTCCTTTAGCTATTCTTCCTAAAAATAAATAAAAGTTAAAAATTAATCACATTATCAGAAAACACTAAAGTACCTGCTATTTGTTTCCTTTCAGTGTTAGTTAGATTGATGTGAGTTAAGCTACATTTGTGACCAATATGAGGAGTGTACAAAATGGCCCTGATTGTGTTTTCTTCGGAAATTAATTCTAATGTTGAAAGACATGTAATTGACAATTTGGCCGAACCTTGAGATTTTAAATGTTTTAGTCTATTAGTGTGAGAAATAGACATATATCTGCTGGGTTTTATGGACCTGTGACAAACATAGTACCTTTTTTCCTTTTTATTAATAATTTTGTTTCCACTAGTTTTAACATATAGACACTTCATTTCCTTTTCTTTAGATTCTTTCCATTCTTGGAAATCTAAAAACAGATTTTGTTATTCCACTTTTGTTAATAAAAAGAAAAAAAAATACAGACCTGAAAGATTCTTAAATTGTTTTTCTTCTTTGCATATCTCGAAATTATGATCCGCAATTATATGATCTCGGAGCTCGGAATAAGTTGCCAAAAGACGGGAGCAACAAGGGCACACCAGCGACTTCTTGTGCGTCTTGTGATCTAATCTATGTATAAGTCTCAGATGTTTATATAAATTAGACGGTCTGCTAAAACTTTTATCGCAAATTTCACAAAAGGATTTTTTCTCCTTTAAATGGTTCTCCATTTTCAAAATGTTGACTAAAATTATGTTTCACAACAATTTAACAATTTAGCATTAAATTGTGCTGCAACCTGAAGTTGTTTTATTTTACCGCCAAATTTAAACAATGTACATAAATTCCGCTAGAGGCACGAGAGTAGAATCCTTTCCTCCGTGCACCGGCTTGTGTTTTGAAGTTAAGATTTTGTTGTAGTGATGTCAAATACGATTACTTTCTAGTAATCGTAATTACCGATTACTTTTAAAAAAGTAATCGTTACTTTCTACTCGTTACAAAATACGATTACTTTTATTTGGCAATTTTCATAACAGTTACTGGCATGTTACTGGGCCATTCCATGGCATGTACAAATAAACAAATGTCCACGCTTCAAATATTGTGAAATCGTTTAGGATTTGTTAAAATTCAGATTCAAAAGTAGAGTATTCCTTTCAACAGATATCTAACACAAAGTGTATTAACAATATAAACAGGTTACTACAATAAAACAAATGTTTAGTTTTTGAAGTTTTAGTGGCTTATAGGTTAATGTTGATACATGAATAGTTTTTATTAAAAAGTATTAATCTTTCATTTTCGTGCCATCAGCATAATTAAAATCAAACACCAATATAATAGGTACATGTATTTATAAATTTATTAACCAATTTTTTAATATTTTTTTATGGTAGAGTTATAATTCATTATTTTAGGTATAAAAAAAGCTCTAGGGAATGGTAGGACATAACATTTGTTTGTGATGTGACAATAACTCCTATATGCTTTTTCATGAGTTTTGTAGGAGACACGAAAAACCTTTTTTAGAGTTACCTCCTGTTTGATATGTAAGTTTTGACTTATTTTGTAGTAAATTCTACTAATAATTTATTACAAAACGTCAAAAAAATATAATGAAAAACAGACTAAATCTGAAAAATCATCTCTCTTACAAAACTCATGAAGAAGCAGATAAGAGGTATTGTCACATTACTGAGGGTTTGCTAATTTTATTAATACAAAATGCAAGTTTTATGTACAAAATGTAACAAGACCTTAAGTTTTCTTAAATTAATAAAATAAATAAGTAAAATTTATACAAATACAAATTACCAACTAATATAAAACAATATAAAAACTAACAGTCAGAACATTATAGAAATTTATTATTACAATTTAAAAACAATAATTTATTAACATGTTTTGCTTTGATTCTATTGCGGCTTTCTGAAATTATTTGTCCTGCTTTGGAAAATATACGCTAGCTAGGCACAGATGTGGCTAGAGCACGCAGATGTTTTTTTGCCAAAATAGAAAGATTGGGATCCATAAGCTCCCTTGATTTCCACCACAATAGTGCATTTTCTGTCCGTCTAATATTAGGAGCTTCTAAATATAGTTTCATTTCTATTATAGCAGTGCCAGCTGGACTGGTTTCTTCTGTTTCTACAAAATAATTATCAAAACTCTCCCAGATTAAGTTTCCCTTAGCACTACGAGGAGAACCGGAAAGATCAGAAACTATTTCATCTGGATCTGTAGTACTAACTGAATCCAAATTAAGAGAACTTTGCCTCTTTTTAATAATGGCAACTATATCAGATTGCACAGCCTCTTTTACTTTTCTCAATGCATCCGATGAACTTGGAGAAAACGATTTTGCTTTAAAGCGAGGATCTAATAAAGAAGCTTTTGAAAGAATCAGATTATATTCTGCCCTATCAAATCTTCTAGTTATGGATGATAAAACATCATCAATTAGTGTTGTTGATTATATTAGAGTGGACTGTATATTTTATTCACTTTATTGTATGGTTGAATTAACATTATTACAAAGGTATTAACATTAACAACTGTATTCGCCCTTTTCTTCGCATCGTCGTCTTATGTCGTCTTCTTCATGCGCTGTCAGTCCCTCGAGGCAGCGACCTCTGGTCGAGTCGGCGTTGCACCATGCAGGACCGTACTGGTTCTGAACAATTAGGTCTTGGCCAATTTTTGTTATTAACTTAGTTTTTAATGTTTCCAAAACCGATTTCAATCCACGAATGATGACTATAATTTTGGATATGGTTACAGTCTTTTCAGCACTGATCTCCTCAGTTAGTTGCGCAAACGGTTGTAAAACTAAACATACTTCCCGTAATACTGCATACTCCTCCTCTGTTAATGGTGGTACTGGATTATGTAATAAACCTAGAGTAACTGTGAGCGATTCTTCTAATTTTATTACTCTTTCAAACATAAAATACGTTGAATTCCATCGGGTTACTACATCATTTTTAAGTTTTAAAGGAATTGAATGTTCCTCGGCGTTTAGTCTTATCTGTGTTTCCATTAACTTTTTGTTAGATTTTGGACTCCGATGAAAATGGTCTACTAAGGTTTTAACTGTTTTTCTAATCGTATTTACCCCATCTAGTGCGATACCATGCTGTACAATGAGGTTAAGGGTATGTGCAAAGCAAGGTACATGTTTCCAGTTGGATAATCTTACTGAACCGATCATATTTGATGCATTATCGGTCACAACAACTTCCACTTTATCAGCAATATCCCAATCAGCAACAACTCCAATTAATTCATCAGATATACTCTCGGATGTGTAAGTGTCGCAACTATGCAAAAAGCAACTTAATAGACAGGAAACATATTCCCATCTCTTATCTATAAAATGAGCCGTTACAGCAAAATATGCTTCATTTGCTGAAGATGTCCAACTATCTGTTGTTAGACATATATACACACTTTCATTTAAAATTTCTTTTAACTTACTTTTAATTGTTTGGTATTGTTCCTCCAGTAACACATTGACAAAAGTGTTTCTACTTGGTAATTTGTACTCGGGTTCCAATTCTCTAAGAAGTTTCACAAATGCTTCATCATGTACTATGGAGAAGGGCTGTAAATCAATGGTTATCATATTTAAAACGAGATCATTGATTTTACGTTGTCTTGCAATAGATATGGGTCGAGATATATAGTTTGTTATCCTAGTAGTTTGTAGTCATGGTTTTTTCCATAATTGTAATGGTGCACCAGGTTCTTCCCTTGATGTTGAAGGAACAGGTTGGGGATCTATCTCAGATTCTTTCACTAAAATTAGTTAGCAATAGTACTATTATAATTTTAAAAATGTCCAAATACCTACTTATATTTACTCTTTTCCGTGTCTCTGTTACATCCGGTTGAAAATGTATGTCTTCAACAATTACTAAAGGTTGTTTAGTTTTCATATGCTTCCTTAAGTTGCTTGTTATTCCACTTTTGTGGGAGTAAATATTGCTGCAAATATTACATTTGGCTTTTTCCTCGTTTACAGAGGTAAAGTGTAGCCAGATGGCACTTTTCTTTTGAACTGAAGAGGTCATTTTTATTTCACTTCTCAAATATATATCTAATTTTTAGCAGCGAGGAATTTGAATCGCTTCTATATTTTTAACTATAACTATATTTTTAACTATAACTATATTTTTAACTATAACTACAAATTGTTCATAAGAAAAGTAAAACTATATTTTAAAAACGTAATAAAAATAGTTACAACATACAACGATGTTCAAAGCATTCATGTAACTAAAATAAAATAAGTTTTAAAACAGAAAATCTGGTTTCTTACATTTAGAAACATTAGCGCAGCAGGATATCTGTCTGTATATGTATCACTGTAAGACCAGATGGTTCGGAGCTGACGAAAGTAAAAAAATAGCCCTTTTATACAAAAAAGGGTATTTTAGCTGTTTATTTTAAACCTGTGTCATATTTGTTAATCTATAGTATTATTCAATGGTTGAAAAATCGTTCACTGTCTTTGTAATAAAGTTAACGTTTTAGTCGAAAGAATAATCTTTAAAATCTTTAATAATAAAGTAAAAACAGATGAACAAATATTGTAAGTCGAATGTTTTAATCTGAACGAATACTTTTAGTAAATAAAAAACAATTAAATGAATATTTAATAGTTGGCAATTCATGTTATAGAAGTAGGTGCAATACAGAGAAAGAATTAAAAACATTTAATGCATGATTTAAGAAAATGAAATCACCTATTTTTATGCAACCAATTATACAGTTGAGTGTTTAAAAAATTGCAGACGCAATAATTATTTATTAATTCTGTTCTATATACGATTACAATACAAACAGTTGTACAGTACAAGCTTTGTCAGTCGCCGATTGATTGCGAGATTACGGATCCTAGTGCAACTGTGAATATACTTATTTTGATGAGTTGTAATTGGTTGAGAAGGTAGCGGGATATTAAAAAAAATATTATAAGTTCTTGTAAACGCATAAACGACTATTTACAGAGATGTTTTGTGTTCTTTTTGAGTAGTTTAGACACTAATGTAATATGTTATCATTTTATAAACATTAATAATAATTTTTGTAACTGCACATTGAAAAATAGAAATAAGAAATTTACTTTTAAATAACATTAGGTACGTTAATAATAAATGCATACCATTTAATGAAAAACAAAATTTTGAGCTTTAAATAAGAATCCTACAAAATATTGTATATATGTTTTTATTGTATATATTGTATATATGTTTTTATTGTATTATTAATAGGAAAACTGTATTCCTAAATCTGGAAAAAACAAATCGCGTTGAAATATAAACAAATCTGTCGAGGTTATAATTAACTCTTATATTTAATTAATAGTTACTTTAATGTATTGCCACAGCACTTATGTAACCAGTTCTTATTTAACATATATTTTTAAAAATCTTTTAGCGAAATAGCTCTTATGAGTTCCTATAAAATATAGCATCTCAAATAGTAGAATCTTTTGAGTACACTATTGTGCTATTATTTTTTGTATTAAGGTACACTTTCTATATTACAAATACATAAGTGTATTAATATTGTTCGGAAGCTATTTGTTTGTGGCATTTATATAATTTATTATTTTAATGGGAAATAATGCCACAATTTAAATACAAAAATGAATTTATTGACGTATTATTAATTAACCTGGCAACGCCCTTAATTATTTTTTTTTTGTGTATGTTTGCGTTTGTTTCAAAAACTACTTAAAATGGTTTAGAAAACAGTAGAAAAATATTAAAAAATTTTTTTGATAGTGCTAAATATTGAATTTACTCCGTATCCACATGGACCCCGTGGGCATTAAAAGAATAAACCTATTAAATCACAGAACAAATAAGACAAAAAAATTATTGCATTTTTATTGAATAAAAAACCTATAAATACAAGTATAAGAAAGTACAAACTAAGTATAAAAACTAACTAATTCATTTTTTAGTGTGATAGGTTACAAAACATGGTACACATAATCCAACATTGCATTTGATGCATATTGTTCTCACTTTACTTTTACAACTTTCTAACCCACATCTTTAGTAGAATCTACCAAATGTCCAATGTTATCGTATCGTATGTCAGGTATTACTTTTCTCGAGTTAGTTTGAGGGATTAGATTTGGTCCTGGTCGTAAAGTAATAGTTTGGTATTTTGTCAAATATCCTTGTACTAAAGTGCGCCTAAATGTTTAACTGGGACATTTTTGGGTCTTGGTGGCGATACATTACCCAAGCATTAATGACACACAAATCAATAAGATATGTAAAGGGATTCCACCACCACTTTTTTCCTCGTATGTTTATCCTATACTCAGTTAAATTTCGGTCCATTTGGTCTGTTCCCCCCATATACTCATTATATTTTCCTATCACAAACGGCCGCGGTACTTGAATATTTTTATGTTGCTCCTTGGAATATCGCTTTACAGGGCGTATAGGTTGAAGACCATGACATGTTGAAACTACTGACACAACGTCGTTGTCTTTCCATCTTACAAAAAATATACCTGATTTTCTTTCTATGGCGCTACAGAATTGTCCTCTGGTTTTTAATAATTGTGGATCAAGTACCTGTGGAAAGTTTTTTTTTAAATTTCGATTTAGTTTTTGTTTGTTTCCTTTTTCGTTAACCAGCTGTTTCGATTTTTTAACAGGAGCATTCGATTTTCTTACTTCTAGTTTAGGAATTCTGTTACTTCTCATTGTTCCAGTAGCGTGGTAGCCTCTGAATCTAAGGAAGTTAAATAGATTTACTGAAGTAAAGAGATTGTCAAAGTAAAAATGATATTTTAAATTCCTTTTTTGTGCAGGAAATTCGCTTAAAAGTTTAACAAAGGGAGAAAGGGAGAAGCAGCCTTTCCAAAACTTGTGCTATAAACATCAGGAATTGTAGCATTTTTCCCTTGATACATATCAAACGTCACACAATAACCTTCCTTCGTGTTAATACACCAAGCCTTATAGCCAAACCGGATCGGTTTTCCTTTAATAAATTGTTTATCATACTTTCGTCAAAGTTTAAATTTTCTTCTGGCACAAAAAGTTCAAGGAATCTTTTTTTTTATTATATTCATTAGAGGTCTAATTTTCGCAAACTTGTCGGTCATATCCAGTTTATTGTTGTCGGAACAGTGAATGAACTTCATGATGGACAGGAATCTATTTCTTCTCATAGCTCTCGATACCAAGTCATTTCTAATATCTTCGGACTTCTCCCAATAGTGACGTTTAGATGGGACTGAATTGTAACCACTCAAAATAAGGATTCCTATGAAGCATTTTATTTCATCATGTGTAATATTTAGATTCTCTTGATTTTTAAAAGCTGTATATTTAGTAGTTTCCTGAGCCAAGTGTTCAATAATTTCATTGGTAAAAAACATTTCAAATACTTCGATAGGGGTTTTATTTTTAAAAAGTTCATAACTCGATGTAGGAAAATCTCCTTTTACATATTTCAATATATCACTTTCAATATATTCTACGTTTTGTAGATTATCTCTTTGATAGTCCAACCAAGAACCAATAAATTCTGGAATTTTATTTACATTACGTTGGTCAAAATTTTCTGAATAATTATTAGTATTGTCGTTTGTAACTGAAGAGCTACTGGGGCCTGGTGTAAACTGTTGAGAAACACATGAAGAAATGGTTGAAAGTTCTTGAATAGCATCATCTGAATTACCACAAATGCGACCACTAAATGTAGAAAAGTTCCGCCTTCATCCTCGTCTCCAGATTCTTCATCAGTAAGTACGTTACTTGGTGGAGGTTCAACAAAGATTTTTTCTAGGGCTATATTATCATCGTTTTTTAAAATAAGCTCTATTGCTTCCTGTAGCGAAAATCCAGGACTGAAACAAAAAAAAAGTTTAGGTGCCCACGGGGTCCATATGGGTACGGCATGAAAAAGCTTCAAATAAATGCAACTTGCACAAACATAAATTCATCAAACTATACATTCTTATAAACTTTCAGCTGTTAGTAACGTAATAAAACAAAATTAAAATAATAACTCAGAGCCTACCTCAAAATATCGTTTAGTGCTTGAACATCGATAAGGTCATCCATTTTAAAAATTGAAATAAAACGTACACGTTCACTCTACTGAAATAATATCAATACTAAGAAGAATTTACACTTCCTAAAAACGTGCCAATGCACTGATATCCCCTCCATTTAAAAACGATAAGATGTGAGAGGCTTGAAAATATAGCGTACCGATGTGGACCCCAGGGGCGGTCCCAGGTTAATATCTTTAATATTGTCATTTTGAAAACGACGTCCGATGTGGACGTTGAAACGTCAATAAATTCATTTTTTTAGTTAAATTGTGGCTTTATTTCCATTAAAATAATAAAATAAGTGTATTCCTGTTATTCTCTGGAAAATAAGGGTTGCTATTTTTATTTTAAATATAAACAATAAAACATCAATTAATATCTATTTATTTATTTATCAATATATAATATATAATCTACACAAAATGTTAACGAATGTGGGACAGCTTTCTTCTGAGGGACTGGAATGTCACTAGCAGTTAAACGCCTTTTTCTGTTGTATGTATGGTCATTTTGTTTTTTGGGTCATCATATTCAATAACTCTTGTAAGGACTTGGGGAACTAATCTTAATAACTAAAATAAAATAGATCAGTTTAATAAGATCAAAATTAGTTCTAATAAAACACATTCATACCTCAGCCTTGTATGCTTCTGGCACATTAATTTCAAACTTAATAAGACCTACCATTTTGCAATTGCTAAATTTTAAAACACAAGTTATTTAGCATTAAAGAGATTATGGGATTTTTTATTTTGAATAATAACTCAAAAACAAATAAATATTTGTATTTATTAACTGTCACTGTCAATCGCAACTTTTACCGATTACTTCTACTCTACTCGTAGTGACTCGTATGGATCACGGCCACGGTCAAGAACAGTTGACTACATAGGATAGTTCCATCGCCCAAATTTGTCTGTCACTCTAACACGCGGCTGTGACGTAGGTGTGGGGATGACAAGCAATTATCAAATTAGC